AAAACCCCAGGATGTTGGAAGCAATGCCATATCCCATGCGGCAAACTGCATGCAATTTGAGGGCCAGCCCTGTGCAAGTTGGATTGCCAAGAGCAGGGGGAAGAACATTTTTGAGCAATTATTACGAAAAACTGGAGACTGTTGGCAACAGGGGCACAGGGAGCTCAGTGGCTGCATAGAGGGTCCCCCCGGGCAGTGGGGACTTCCCTCCTGTAGCTAGGCTACTGGTTGCCATGGTTACAGCCAAGAAGGATATCATATACAAGAATACATTGTAACATTTTAAAAATCGAGGCAGTTTTCTTTTAAAAAAGGTAACAACAAAAAACCACACACAAACACACACACACACACAGCCTGACCTGCCCCCAAAAAAAGAAGAGTGACTTGTGGTTGAAGAGGAGGCTGGACGCGCTATATAAAAAACTAGAAAACCAATAATGGCGTCGATGGCGTCTTTCTCCATCCCTAACAATAGCTGGCAGCTGTCCTGCACTGGTGTTGGCACAGCGGAGTACAGAAATCTGCTCAGGGAGGGTGTCCGGGTCACCATTTTATTTATAAAAATTGAGGAAAAAAAAAGCGCCCACGCTTATTGCCAGACCGCCATGTAAACAATAAGGAAGGCGGTCTTCTAAAATATACCCGTTAGTCACACGCAGAAGGCGCAAGAACCCTTACAAGTAAAAAACAAAAACAAATTTGCATTAATACAACTGTAAAATATGAGCGCTTTTTGCCAACTTTTTGAACATGCTCTTTGGTTACAATGTGTAGCTGCTACGTCTCCTATAAAAGCACTTCATACTATGTTACAATACTGCAGCTGGTCATGTGATTTAGGACCGGTAGACACGCCCACAAAACATGGCCCCTGTCTCAGGGTCTACTGAGCCAAAGCAGGTATTTGGCTAAAACCCTTGCAATGCAAAATCGGGACTTCAACTTTGAATTTATTTTGTGGATTAACACTTTATGTCCAAAATGACTAAACGATGCAGTAGATTAGTACAGGCACAAGGCACATGAAAGGCAATGAGAGATGGTCATAGCAACCTTACTGTTAAGACACTTTCAGAAATCAAGATTCCTCGGACAGCATATGGTATTCCAGCCCAGTAGAAGGTTTTTTTTTATTTCCAGCGTTCCCACTTTTTAAAAAATGTCAAATTAGATTCTATTGAGCATTCTCCAAGAACCCAAACCCAAAAAATGTCACCACTCTCCTGAGTGGCGGTGTCCTGTGCTGGCGATTTTCACGGCACTCTTTAATCCGTTGCTAATTGTAATCCCATTACAGCACGGAGTAGTTGATTAGTATTCACAGTTCATCAAGCTAGCGGTAATAACAGTTAGTGCGTAATTCAAAAGGCGTAAAAGTGACCGCTGCAGTAAACAAGACGTAGGTTGGGACCCGGCAGGGACGAGGACAGCGGGTTGCGGCGGTGTCCAGGCAGCGGTCGGCGGCGCTTTGAATGCCGGGTGAGTGATCGCCCGAGGGGGTTGTCTATGGAGGCTTGTGCTGATGGGGAGGCGGCGGCACATAATGTCAACCCCGAGCGGCCTAGGGCAGCAGCATTTGTAAATACACCACTGAATAGAGCGCAGTAGCAATTGCCACTTACATTCCTCACATAACAGCTGCAGTTCTCGGTGCCTGGGGAGCTGTGAGGGAGCGTGGCTGCAGCTTCCCATCCAATCAGGAAGCAGGTCTGTGTATATATGCGATATATATATTTTGTGTGCACGTCCTAATGCAATAGGCTGCGCGCCTATGGGGCCCATTAAGGATTGCAGAAGTTGCTGTTGACCCAATACTCCCTATGGACATTTCGATTGAAGAGCTGACATTGGATGTACAGGAGGAGACTACGCAGACAGCCTCCCTGCTACCTGTCCTTGAGTTAGATTTTAAGTGGTCACCGGGAAGAGGGGGGGCAATCAAAATTTTACAATGTGGCCCATGATCTGTAGTTACGCCCCTGTGTACAAGGTATGTATACTGTATGTGTACTAATTATATATATTTACATACACAAATGTATAAAGTACATAAATAGATTACAAATGTTTCTCTTGTACATGGAGTTACAATGATGTAGCATTGCTGAGGACGGGTAATCGAGGACACTCGGTGGTGACCACAGTGGAAGATAATTAAAGACTTTGAGACAAACTAATTTTAGGCACAGATTTCTTTTTTGGGTTGAAAATACAGGAGGAAGTTTACAAGTTCAAAGACTGTTTAAATTTAACATTGAAAAATAGTTTCATGTAGAAAGACGGTTTCCTACACACGGCCGACTTCCCTTGCCAAAATCCCGCAGGAGGAGAGTGGAGACAACATCTCCTAAGCCCACTTTAGCCTAAAATGGCTTTCGAGCTGCAGTTTGCACCGTGCCAATTATAAATCCAGAGCCGGATTGGGTTCCATACTGGTATGAGGCGGATATAAAAGACGCGATTCTCTGTATTCATTAATACATCATCTCAATTTGGTATAATGCAGTGTAAGTGCCTGAATACGAGTTTCTTACAATCCCTGTGCAGCCAAGCTCAGACTGGGAGAGAAAGAAGCAGCACAGGTTGCCAGCCAGCTAAACTGCAGTGCTCACGTGCCAAAAAGGAGGAAAGAGCACAGTGACCAGGAGATGAGCTCATCCTGGGGTGAACAAATTAATATGGAATTCAGGAGCCAGTCAGTCCAATCCAGGAGCCAGCTACATTGACAACTGGAGAAGAAGTCGGATGCCAGGTATAAATTTCTCAGGAGCATTGGCCACCTGGCTTTGGGATTTGTCCAGCCCTTAGCTGCTCATCAGTCTGCTGCTTCTCCAATTCACCAATGGGGGGAGAGACAAGACCTGAAGCTGTTATAGGACTGAAGCAGAGGGAAACCTGGTCTCCTCTCCTGCCAGTCAGGCCTGTGCTGTGTGGCAGAGCTGTGTAAATCTCAGAACTGGGCAGACAAATACAAATGCTTTTTACATGTTTCATCTGTTTGCCTGGAGTTCTTAAATACGGAATTGAGGATGTCAAAGGCTGAAAAATTTAAGATGTATATTTTGGGTTTGGGAAGGCTAAAAGTTACACGCCAGACAAAAGCCGAACCCTGGAGAAGGCAGAAGGAAGACGTTTGTACAGTTAAATATTAAAGCAACTTAATAAATACTTTTTTTGGTTTTGTAATTCAACAAGTGCCGAGGTGCGGCGCTCACCCAGAGTTGTCAGGACAAATATATACAAGTCATAAACCATTTCTGTGATTTACAGTTAAACGAGCGTCTCGCACAAGCCCGGCAATCAGGACGAGCGGTCCGGCGCGGGTTGTAGGGCCCAGCTTGCCGATATCAAAAGAAATACAATCATTTGGGCTCCTTTAATTCATCAACTTTCACCACTTAGGTTCTTATTTATTAAAAAGGTTATAATTTATTAAAAAGGTTATATAGAGCAGCGACTGGCCGCGCCGATTCTATATCAACCTAGAGCACTTCCAGCAGAGAGCCCGATGTGATCTACGGCAATGTTAATGGATCTTCCAATGTTCCAAGATTATAACAAGAAGAGTACACATGGCTCTGGGATTTAGATATTTGCTTATCCCGGAGTACAGCTTTAAGTTTTGGGAGTGGGGGAAGTTTAGAAGGAAAAGCTTCTGCCAGGGACGTTTCCAACTAGAAACGAGAATTAGTCCCCCACAGTGCCAGGAAGTCACACGTCATGCGTGACTTCCTGGCACTTTGGGGGACTGCTTCTTGTCATAGTTCATCTCTGTTATAGTTGCCACCACTGGAGAATTTCCCTTTACCCCCAGTTTTGGTGACCATTGAACACTGGTCTTACTAGCAAATTCAATCCAAAAAAACAGCCGCACACTGTCAATCTTCAACAAGAGCTTCTTTATTTGAAAGATTCAGTCATCTCAAAAAAACTTATGATCCCTGCCTGCTAGTCGCTCACCTTTTGGAGGACCGACCCCTTTGGAGACCCCGAGCACCGACCGCTTTGGAGACCCCGAGCACCGACCCCTTTGGAGACCCCGAGCACCGACCCCTTTGGAGACCCCGAGCACCGACCCCTTTGGAGACCCCGAGCACCGACCCCTTTGGAGACCCCGAGCACCGACCCCTTTGGAGACCCCGAGCACCGACCCCTTTGGAGACCCCGAGCACCGACCCCTTTGGAGACCCCGAGCACCGACCCCTTTGGAGACCCCGAGCACCGACCCCTTTGGAGACCCCGAGCACCGACCCCTTTGGAGACCCCGAGCACCGACCCCTTTGGAGACCCCGAGCACCGACCCCTTTGGAGACCCCGAGCACCGACCCCTTTGGAGACCCCGAGCACCGACCCCTTTGGAGAGAGCCTTTGGAGGCGAGTGACCTGCAGGTGGGTATCAAAGGTTTGGAGCTGACTGGATTTTACAAATGAAGCTCCATGGGTGAAGATTGACAGCGTGCAGCATTTTCTGCGGATTGCATTTGCTGTGGAGTATAAACAGTTCGCTGGCCAGCACCTGCAAAGAACCCAAGCAGAGGAACTGGGAGGTGGAAGGAGGTCTCTCTCTGCATTTGAATACTGGTCTTTCTAGAGAGCAACATCTCACTGTCCACATGGCTTGGTTTCCTGTTAGTTTGCTGGACAACCTCCACACACACCAATCTCTTCCTAAATGCATGTGGTGGTCTGTGTTCCAAAACGAATCATTTAAAGAGCCATATAAGCAGAATACAAAAGCACATTTCCCAGCAAGGCCACATACAAAAACACAATGGCCCATGTGGTCAAGGGTCCCCTCGCTGCACGATGCTCAGGATCCCAACATGTGCAGACAACCAAATCAGCCTTGCAATAAACTGCCAGCCTTGAGCAGCCAATATACCAAGCTAGCCACAGTGGTCAGGTAGTGAACAGATGATACCACCGGTACAAGGCGGCAAGAGTGCGGCCACATTAACCTCACCCTCGAATGTAAGAAGAAGAAAAAAGGAACTTACCAGTATGGGTCGCCATGGGGAGAGGGGAGGAGAAGTACTTGGTGGCTTGAAAGTGTCCTGGGTGCTGCACCGCACTGTGGCCTGCAGGCGGGTTCATCCGGCCAGCTCCACGGTGACTCAGGTGAGGAGGGGGGACAAAGTCCCGGCCGTCCATACCGGGAGGGAGAGTAAGATAGGGTGGTACTATTCAGTGGGAGGTCCCGGGGGCGGTGCCGGGCTCCGCTTGAAGCGCCGGTATCATTCTCTAGAAAAGTAAAAAAGGAGAAAAAAAAAAGGAAACATTTAGTCACAATATTTGTCAAAATGGGTTCACAAGGTCTAAAAAAAAAAAAAAAAAA